TGTTAAATATTCTGCAAGCATTTCTCTTATCACCGCTTTTGTTTAGTTTCGTCCGGATCTCATGCCAGCATCGACAGACGCGTTTCGTTCTTGTGGAACTCATCAGTGCCGAGTTGGTATAGGCACGAGACCCAAACGAAAACTTTAATTCCTCTCCTTATATTGGAAAGGAATAGTTCAAAAGCGGCGAGAAGAGAATTGCCTGCACAATGGTGCCATCTATCGTTTTTCAACGCGGTCTTCTATTTGTCATGACATTATCTGTACGGGACATATAGCGTGCTTTACGCCATCTATGACCTGAAAGATGTATTACCTTCCCGGTTAGGTAATTTATTATAGTTATCGTGTTGAAAGTATTAAAACTTTGCGAAAACTCGCTATATATATATATTGTTAAATATTCTGCAAGCATTTCTCTTATCACCGCTTTTGTTTAGTTTCGAACGAGTTTTCGCAAAGTTTTAATACTTTCAACACGATAACTATAATATGAAAAAATAAGATGATATGTTCCTATAAAAAAATTTCCTACTTGCCCTCCTTAAGGAGACATGGGCCCCGAAAGGACTCCCCTTCAAATTGGTTTTCCTTGAATAACCTTTAAAGTACTGAATATAATTTAATAAAAATTTAATATGATGAACCCTGGTAAGAATCTCTTAAAATAGTGTCCTTGAAACATGTTTTGCTTTTTTTGTTTACCAGGGGCGGACTAAGTATTACACCTTAATGCTTAAATTTTGAACACCCCGTATGATAAAGACTAAAAAAACTAAATTTGCGTAGCATGTACCTTAAACTAAAATAAAGGTACTCCTGTTTATTGACAATAAAATGAACCGTTTTCAAGAAAAAAAATAATAAACGAATTCATGTTTTATTTTTAATAAAAAGGACTATTAAAAAATAATATAACGTATTGTTGCAAACCTTGAATTGAAGGACGATAATTCGAAACAAAAAACTTCATAAGAGGGTTCAACATGGGCTCCGACGGAGCCGCTCCGTGAACTCTGATACATTCACGACGAATTGAGGACTGCTGTACCCGCCACAATAACCCATCATCGTTTCTTATCATATCACAATGAAACGTGATTATCTGTAGAAGTTCCTCCCTAGTATCGATCGGAGTGGAATACGCAAGTTTTTTAGGTGTCCCCACAGGAAAAAATCCATCAGCGTAAGGTCAGGAGATCGAGGAGGCCAGTCAATAGTCAATAGGTCCTCCTCTACCTATCCAACGGTTTGGATAAACGTTATTCAAGTTCTTCCTGTCATATAATAATATTTTTCTCGCGCCAGCATCAATACTTTTTTTACAAACGTACCTAAAATTATGAAAAAAGTTAATAATATTACTTTAATAACTGAAATTATCCACCATTCTCTTCTTATTATTCGAAATCAGAAGAAATTTCAACGAATTGACCAACGTCTTAGAGAGAATGGTGGACAATTTCAGTTATTAAAGTAATATTATTGACTTTCTTCATAATTTTAGGTACGTTTGTAAAAAAAAGTTTTGATGCTGGCGTGGGAAGGGCCATACGTACGCCGCAGTTAGAGAAAAATATTTTAAATGCTGTAGATGACACTCCTTCAACGAGCACTCGAAAATTATCAGCACAGTTTAATACCTCGAAAACAATAGTGTATGATGTTCTTTAAGAACAGCTGTTATATCCATATCATATGCAAAAAGTGCATCAACTTATTTTTGAAGATTTTCCTCGTAGAATGCAGTTTGCAAACTGGCTATTGGATCAGCAACAAAATAATGTAAACTTAATTAGCACTATTCTTTTCACGGATGCAGCAGGATTTACCAAAAAAAGGTATCACGAATTTACACAACAAATGTATGGGCTAATGAAAATCCTCATGCCACTATTGTTTCGCATTATCAACATCAGTTCCAACGGTTAATATGCGGTTAATATGTGGGCAGGAATCATTGGCAATATTTTAATTGGACCATTCGTATTGCCGGCACGATTGAATGGACAACTTTATTTTGAGTTTCTCCAGAACGCTTTTCGGGATTTAATAGAGCCCTTACCACTTGAAATCCGCCTAAACATGTACTTCTTGCACGATAGGGCACCACCTCATTTCAGCGTTGCTGTGTGGGAGCACTTGAATAATGTTTATCCAAACCGTTGGATAGGTAGAGGAGGACCTATTGATTGGCCTCCTCGATCTCCCGACCTTACGCTGATGGATTTTTTCCTGTGGGGACACCTAAAAAACTTGATGTATTCCACTCTGATCGATACTAGGGAGGAACTTCTACAGATAATCACGTTTCATTGTGATATGATAAGAAACCATGCTGGGTTATTGTGGGTAGCCCATGTTGAACCCTCTTATAAAGTTTTTAATTCATTGTTTCGATTTGTCGTCCTTCAATTTAAGGTTTGCAACAATACGTTATATTATTTTTTTTATGGTCCCCTTTATTAAAAATAAAACATTAATTCGTTTATTATTCTTTTTCTCGAAAACGGTTTATTTTATTGACAATAAACAAGAGTACCTTTATTTTAGTTTAAGGTTCAAGCTATGCAGATTTAGTTTTTTTAAGTCTCTGTCATACTGGGTGTTCAAAATTTAAGCATTAAGGTGTAAAACTTAGTCCGCCCCTGGTAAACAAAAAAAGCAAAAAATGTTTCAAGGGCACTATTTTAAGAGATCCTTACCAGGGTCCATCATATTAAATTTTTATTAAATTATATTCAGTACTTTAAAAGTTATTCCAGGAAAACCAATTTGCAGTGGCCTTCTTTCGGGGCCCATGTCTCCGTAAGGAGGGCCAGTAGGAAAAAAATTTATAGGAACGTGTCATCTTATTTTTTCATGTTCTATCTGAATCCGAGATATTTCCCACATTTTCCCGGACACCCTGTATACATGTATAAAAATTATAATCAGATGCAAGTTACTTTTTGAAATTTTATTAAAAACATGTTTTAAATATTTTATATTTTATTTAAGAAAATAAATATTTATTTTAATTAATTTTAGCATTGTAGTTCCTTAAGTAAAATCATTAAAGTGCAACACTTATGCGTGCCACAGTGACATCACTGAATGAATCAACACTGATTTCACGTTGATGTCACAACGAATTCATCGTGTGACTCATTAAGGATATCATGTTGCTCATCAAAAGGGGAACACATATGCGTACCTCAGTGACATCACTGAATGAATCAGCAATGATTTCACGTTGATGTCTTAAATGATGTCATAATTGTTATCTGGGTTATTACAAGTAAAACAATTTTTGCAAATCTCCTCAATGTCGCTGTCAATACGAGGCCACCAGCAATAGCTCCTAGCTTAGGAAAAAAAATATTCACAATTTTTAGGTCCATAAATATTAAATGTACAATTAAATATATATTGGAATGAAATTACATTTGTACTTTTGGAAAATTCGTTTAATGAAACATCCATGATAGTTGAACTTGATGCGGATAAGTGCTGCCAAGAGTCATCCATTAAATCTTCCTGTTGATTGAAGCCTCTACAAATTTTCTCCGATGATTGAATTTTATTTTAAATGCTTTCTTATAACCCTCAACAGGAGATGTTAAAGACCATCCCCCCAGTCTTTTCAAATCAGGGATACTGCCCCCATTATCAACCAACATGGTAGCTGCACTCCTGTGTAGCTATTGGAATCAGGAAGCTTAAAATATTCAGCATTTTTTTTCGGCAAACTATAAAATGTGTTGATCCCCACCGGTTGCACAGTGCATTTATCATTCCGGTAACAAACGAAAAATCTGGAATGATTCGTGTTTTGTGGCCCTAATTTACGATATTTTCGATACAACTCAATTCCGTTCGCTTTCGAAGTTTTCGTTTTTGTATTATTAATGGTTAGATACACGTCCATTGTTCTGATTGGTCATGTGATCGAACGGACGTGTCCAGCAAAGTGTGCATAATATAATGTGTAATTAAATTAATATTGCTTTGTTGAGGAGTAGGTTCATAGTGTGCGTTAGGGTGGAGTGAAACATTTTTTTTTAAATTTTGACAACGGCTAGGAACCAAAATGTTCTATTTATAAACACTATTTCCTTTGTTTTGAGGGGTCACACAAACATCAAAGTTATATCAATTTTAAGTATATTATTTTCATTTTATTATCTGTTAAATTACGTCGGATATTCGCCAGTTCATTAAAAAAAAAAGGTATGATCTACCCAGAACTCACCACGTGAATGTATCGGACCTAGAATTGATTCCCTCCCACCCTCATAGGTACTCATAAATCGCTTATATTCTCTTTTGGTTGAACTTAACTCCAATATGGAAAAAATGTCCCTTACGCCTCTTTGTCAGAACAGCGACGATATACTTTTAACATCTCGTAAAACAATGTTTGGAACTTCACTTACACTTTTCTAATAATTCGAACCTCACATACAAATAATGCTTCATAACATCACAATAAGTGGGCAAAACCGGAGTATTAAGTTGTTTGAAGCTCCAAAAACGGTGCAAAGTACGTCTTTCCGCGTTTTCGGCATAGTTATTTTTAAAGCAATTTTAGCCCTACTTACAGCACAACACTGAACTTATGCGACTATTCGACTTGCCTGACGCAATATTATTTTTTATTTTCGAAAAAAAACCAAAAATCACCGAGCCTAATTCGCTCTTTGGCTATGTTGCCACTTGTTGCAGAAAATACTTATTGGGAAACCCCTGAAATGAAAAACATAAAAATTGGAATTTTTACCGTATAAAAGACTAAAAGCCAATAAACTAAAAAAAAAAAAAAAAACTCATTAGAAAGAAACTTTTAGGCACTAGTCGTTGTTAAAATTCAAAAGTTGATTTTTTCGCTCCACCCTAGTGTGCGTGTTGGTTACAACTAACCCATGGGTTGTATATTTTTAATATTACCTATTTCCTATATTAATACTACTATACCTGGTATTTTACATTCTCTTTAGGTTTGTAAATAAAATATTTTCTAAAACAAATATTTTAATGTTGTTTTTAAAATTTTAAAAGTATGCAAACAGGTTAATAATTTTTGAATTGTATTTTTGTATGAATAGCCTTATATAAATAAAAAAACAAGCAATACAATTGAAGAAATCTCCATAAAATGTCCTTATTGAAAGATTTTTTTTCAGTATTTCTGTTTTGATGTGTTCGCTGGCCTATTGAACCGCCCTGGTCCCGCGCCCATTAACTGAGCGATTTTGGCGATCAATTTTTAATGTGGAATGTTGATCTTTCTTTGTGGAATCCCACCTCACTGGAATCAATTTATTAGGAATTACGCTGTATAATCAATTTTGTCCCACGAAAGTGATGCAGTTAAATCAGCGGGAGTACGAAATTCTTCTAAACTAAAAGGATCAAAAGGATCATGTGCTATTCCCAATAAAGGATCATAACCAGCTAAATCCTGGGTATTTGTTAAATCTAAAGGTAAACTATTATTTGAGTTATACGTATTTTCACGAGGTAATAATGATTCCAACCAATCATCGGTATCCATAGGAACAATATCACTTTCTGATTGAACATTATTATTTTCATTTTGGGGCTGACAACCACTAAACTCCATTAAATTTGAAAAGTCCATATTTTCCAGCTCTAATGATTCCAAAATTTCGCATGGATGCATACCAAGTGCGGGACTGCTTGATTCCACATTACCATTTAGTTGGTTATCATTTTTATTTTGACGTGGAGAGGAAAAAATTGGTTCATTTTTAATAGCAGATGCTGGGGTTGCTGGATCATTTGCTGCACTGGGAGGTAATTCGCCATTTTTAATTAAAATCTCCAAGACATCATCCACAATTTGGCTCTTAATATGTTTTTTATTATTTTGCTTGGTTGCTTCTTCATATAAAGGTGGAGGTTTAAGATCCTTACCACTTTCTAATATATTTTCCGTTTTAATGTCAGATGCAGGAATAATGGGTGTTATATTTAAAACATTTGGTAAGGAATTTGTTCTATTATGGCTATTAATTTTAGCTTTTTCTTGTAGTAATTGGTTAAAAACTAAAGAAGCATCAGTACCATTTAAAATTAAACTATTTGTGTGATTTTTTTGATTTTGAAAAGCAACATGTTGCTGCTGTTGCAGTCTTTGTTGCACTTGACTGACTTTTGATTGTTTTGCTTGAAGAGCTTGCAATTGCCTCATTTGTTCAGCAATATTTTGCTGCTGCTGTTGTTGTTTTGCTTGTAAATGTTTTTGCAAAGCAATTAATTGAGTTTTGGGCTCTTGTCTAGTAGCAGCTTGAAGTTTAAGTTGTGATAGTGTCAGTTCCCGTTGCAATTCTTCAATTTGTCTTTGTTGTTCTCTAACAATATCTTCTTTGGTTTTTAATGTGTTTTCTTGGACTTGCTGTTGAATTTGTTGTAATTTTTCTTGAATTTCTTGAGGATCAGGACTCATCGGATTTCCTATATCCATTTTTTCCGATAGATCATCTTCAAAGGTTTCGTTGGAGGAATCATTATTTTGACAAGGTTTCGAAGAATATGATTGATCTGTCAATAAGTTATTTTGGAAAGAATTACTAATATGATTTCCTGTTTCAGCAGAAAATGACTTAAGCCTATCTATTAGGTTTTGTTTCGACCCAGACACTGGCAAGTTTCTACGTTTTAGTTCTCCTTTTAAATCACTAACTTTCATATCTTCCAATCTACCAGAAATTCGATTTGATATGGAAGATTCTGATGATGTGGAAGGTGCTGAGGAAGGTTGTGAAATATTACTATCGTTTATTTTTTGGGAAGCTGGTAATATAATTTGAGGATATTTATGTTGAAGTTGTAATTGAAATTGAAGCAATAACGTTTGTTGCTTTAAAAGTAGATCGTATGAACTTTCTCCAGAATTGATTAAGTTGGAACTTTTTTGAGCACTTGGTGGTCCTTTGTATTCATGGAATTTTATCGTACGTGTTTTCGGGACAGATTTAGATTTATTTTTTTTCCTGTTCTTATCTTTTCCTGGAGCATCACTTTTTGCAGGGAAAGAAATAGAACGTGAAACCAAATTTATTGGTGGCGGAGGTGGAGGGGCAGGGACTGGAGTAGCTGGTTGAGATAATAATGTTGGTACAGGGCTTGCTACTGAAGATAATGGACTTAATGTTGAAGTCGACGATATTAATGATGCCGGGCTTGCAGTTGAAATTTGCAATGGATTTGTAACTGACTTGCACATTTCTGCATAAATCAAATCTCTATTTTCTTTAAAAATTGATGCGGATGTTGAAACAATTGCAGTTTTATCGGAAGGTTGAATTAATGAAACAACAATACCAGCAGACTTAGCTGCTGTTTCTAGTACGTCACTTGTTCCGGGACTTATTATATCACCTTCAGAACTTAAAGAATCTTCTTCAGGAGTCACATAGCTATTTGGGTGCTGCGGCCGATTATGTTGTCCTTCGCTAGTAGCTTTATATGGTATCCTTCCAGTTTTAACTGCCTGTTCAATAGGCGCTTCTGTGTGTAAAATATTTTTTTGAATTAATTCTAGAGGGCCCGGTCTATGTGATAATTGATCATTTAGTTGATCCGCCAGGCGTGCCTTTTTAAGCATTCGTTGTTTTTCTGCCAGACTTGGATCCACATGAGCTGGATCAGCTTCCAGAATGTGTCGTCGTTCAAGTTCTTGTCTAGGTGGCCTTTGTTGAATTTTAGCTTTTAACATATCACCTGTTTTAGCGCGTTCTAGTTGCCTTCTCTGACCATGATAAGCACCTGGAGTTGTATGCGCTGTAAAAATAAAGACTATTAATATTATGTTACTAATAATAACAAATTACAAAAAAAACAAATTTAAATTTAAATATGTAGGTGGGCGAATTTTCGTTAAATGTACATTTTGTATATATATTTTGTCCAGGCAGGTCAATTTGATCGAATTTTTTTCCTTTGCGATAGAACAGTGTAATATACTGCAAAAAAATTCTATAAGTTTATAAATAACAAAAATAAACTTTAAAGAAATAACTTATAGGGTTAATCTAAAATAGGGAAGGAACACAAGGAAGAAATGAAACATTGTCCTCCTCCTAACGCATCTTCCTGAACGTTTTATGACACATTCCTTTTGACTTTTTCAAACGTTATTTTTCAGAAATACTGTTAAATGTAAATATCTTTCGGCATTTGTTTGGAATTTCTACTAAGCTATAATACAAAATGAAAATAAAAAAGTTAACTTCTAAAACAAGAGTTGTATGTAGCGTTTTGTAAAAGACACCAAAAGTGTACGCAAAAAAATCTTACCTTTAAAATATTTACAAAAAAATTCACACACTTTACACGTGCTCACTTGTTGTTGCCGAACTATCAAACATGTATGCCCTCTAGAAATAACACGATAGTATCTCTATCTCGTGTCTCTATTTCGAAGCAGTCGGCATAGAAGACGACGTTAGGAAAACGACAAGATTTTTGAATGTCAACTTTAATATTTTTTTCTCTTTAAACTACTTTGTAGAAAACTATTTTATTTTTATATACGAATAAAAGAACTTTCCATTGTTCAAAAATAATTTATTTTTTCAGAAGAAAGCTGCAAAGAAGAAGAATATAATAATTTAAATTAAAAAATCGCCTCTGGGGACAGTTAGGTTACAGGACATTTCACCTAGTATTTCTGCCATATATAGAACCATAAAGTAATTAACAAAAAAAATACGATGGGTCCTAACAGGAAGGGGGTATTTAAATATAATAAATACAAAACTTATCAACAAAGGTCAAAAATAAAAATAAAATTAGCTGGGGACAGCGAATGTACATATAACGAAAATTTGCCCAGGTACCTACTATAAAAATCTTGACAGTAAAATATACGAACGGTTACATTATTAACCCAATTATAAATTATAGAATGCTATTATGAATCCGGCCATTGTGATCTAAACTTAAAAGTAGGGGTATGGGAAAAGTGAAAATCGTATCAAATAGTGAATGGTTCGAATTATTCGAATGTTAAAAAAAAGTTTATTCCAATAATAATTAATAATATTCGGTCGAACATAATTAAAAATTTAGAAAAAAAATTGTTTTGTCAAATCACATTGTACAACAGCCCACAAATTACCTGAGTGAATGGGTATTTGTGAAGATGAAACCAAATGATTTTGAAAATTTATGTCGATTTTAAAAGTTAACATAACGTTCATTCATTCATTCATTTGCGAAGTCTATATTAACAATAATAATAATAATAATATAATAAATGTATTTCCTGTTAACATACATAGTATTTACAATTGTCACTAATATGAACATAAAGGTACGTAGAAATATAGACAGGTACAATTTGGTTAAAAAATTAAGGGTACATAATACAAGTTACAATAATATTATATCACAGTCATATCACAGTTTAGGAATTCATCATATGAATAGAAAGACTTTGAAATCAAAAATGATTTTAGTAAAGCCTTATATGAGTTTGGTTTTAGATTTTTTATTGTTTCAGTTTATTTGTTATAATATTTAGGAGCTAGTCTTTTGCGATTTTGACAGCCTAAAACCTGGCAAAATTAAGTTGTTTTTTGTTCTTGTGTTGTAGTGATGTTCGTGCACACTGAAACTGTCAAGGTTGGTTTTTGCGTAAACCAATACTTCCAAGATTCCCGGAAGGGGTAATTCCATTTATTAGCCACCAATGAGTGCACCTCATATAGGTACTCTAATTTTATTTATTTTTTAACTGTAAATAGACATGGACGCAAGAAGTGAAAAAAACTCCCCTTTTCTTTTCTCCCCCTATCACCTATTTATACAGGGCTACGCAAAAGTTACTATGCAGACCTAACTTTTTTTGCTAATAAAGCTATCGACATTAAACAAACTGTTAATTGTTAAGAAAATATTTTTCTTTTAAACCTTATAGGACACATTTAGTTATTGATGCCCTAAATGGTCTTTGGGATTTTTTTAAAAATGCAATTTTTTGTCAAAATTGCCTAATTTTATAAATTCATATATTCTTAGAACAACTTGCCAGCAAATTTTTTTTAATGTAGTTTGTTACCAAAGATCTTACTCTTTATAAAAGCAATGAAAACATTTTCAAATATTGTTGGCTAAGAGTTCAAAAAAATATAATAAAAATTCATGTTTTCGAAAAATCACTATTTTCAGCCATTTCATGGTTTAAAAAGGCTATGTTTGAGTGATTCGATTTAAACCAATTTATGCTTATCATCACATGCACTTATTAGCCTCCAATAACCACTAATAAAATTATTGTGTATATACACAATAATTTTATTAGCAAAATATTTTGCTTTTAACTGGGCTGTGGCTGTATGTACAGCCCAGCTATTTATAAGCAAAATACACAATATGCCCACCTGACTTTCAGCCATTTCATGGTTTATAAAGGCTATGTTTGGGTGAGTCGATTTAAACCAATTTATGCTTATCATCACAGGCACTTATTAGTCTCCAATAATCATGAATAAAATTATTGTGTACTTTTCTTTTAGCTGGGCTGTGGATGTATATGTCCACCTGCGACTAAATCAATATCCCTGCTTAAAATACCCCATAGAGACCTATATAAAATCGGGCGCTACCGGATTCAATATGTGCATTTGTCCATGGTTTTTTCCGGATACGGCCCGATAGAAAATGTATAGGAAATTACCTATAGGCACACCATAACTTTTACATTTTCTCTATTGAGACCGATAGCAAATAACTCAATGAAGGATATATAGGGATATCTCTATAGAACAACCATAAGACATTTGACAAAATTTTATTAAAACCTATGGGGTCCTATGGGGGAAAACTGATTTCTACATTTATGTGTATTTTCCCCATTGAAACCAATAGCAAATAAATTAAGGGTGGATATCCCTATAGAACAACCATAAATCCCAACTAGGGGTCCTATACAAACCGATACACCCTATAGAAACACCATACATTCCGATACAAATATCTATCGGTTTGAACAGGGTCTCTATGGGGTATTTTAAGCAGGGATATTAACCATTTATTTCGAAAAAGCGTATTACATCTTTAAAATAACTCGACAGCCTTGAATTGACTTATAATTCATTCTGAATAAAAATATAAAATATAAAAACCACATACAGTGGCGTCGAAAATTAACTATAGATATACCCATTTATATATTTTTTAAATTAAGAAACCATAATCAAATGTACAAAAAATTAATTAAATGGCTAAAAGACATACTTTTCATAAACTTTATATTTAGACAAAATAAAACAGGTATTACATCCTATATTTGACTTAACTGCATATAATTAAACTGAAAAAATCATATTCTTAACTTTTACAATCACCTAAAAAACCTATTTACTATTTTTTACCTCTAAAAAGTTATATGAATCGGAAAATTTTCGTATGTGTATAATGTCTATCAAGAGGAATAAATTAACGACTTCACCAAAAATTTTGGTAAAATAATATAGATACTTTAATTTGTACAAGATTCAATCGCGAAAAATATTTTTTCAGAAATCGGCAGTAAAATAGTCAACAATCGGCAGTAAAGTAAAACAAATCGGCAGTAAAGTAGAACTTTACGTTTTTAATAAAAATAATACCTAAGTTAATTTTATTAATTAGATTAGAAAATCGCCGCGGAGGGCAAATATATAATAACCGTCGTAACAAACAGTATATATACTGTACGTAGACACCATACATTCAAATGAAATTTTATTTGATCATCAAATGACATTTGATTTAATCATCAATATTAATTATTAGTATTATTACATGTGATTTCGGATAAAATTTAATATGCACCTCGGCATTAAAGTCATTTTTATCACTCTTCGCCTCAGCAAATAATTACGACTTTACTGCCTTGATACATAAATAACTATTAATGGCATTTTTCATTAATTAATTTTCCAACGGAACAATCCATTTTGGACACTTCAAACAATTTGACACTTTTAAATGACTGTTTTTAGAAAATTATGCACAATTTAATAATTTATTATTTTAGTTTTTGTTTATTTACAAAATGTAAAAAATTAGTATGTTGAGAGTAAGTAGGTTAGTTTTTATGAATATGTAAAAATTTCAATATCTTAAAAATATTTTAATTATTAAAACAAAATCTTAAAAATTGGCTCTTGGGAATTAAAACTCAATTCAAGTCTTGCTACTGAGTTTTTTTATAAAATATATATTTAATATAATATTATGGATTTATATTAATATAATCCACATTATAATAATAAAATTAATAATTCAAGTCTTGCTACTGAGTTTTTTTATAAAATATATATTTAATATAATATTATGGATTTATATTAATATAATCCACATTATAATAATAAAATTAATAATATTATAATACATATTATGGATTTAGTCAGGTGGGCATATTGTGTATTTTGCTTATAGCTGGGCTGTAGATGATACAGCCACAGCCCAGTTAAAAGCGAAATACACAATAATTTTATTCATGGTTATTGGAGGCTAATAAGTGCATGTGATGATAAGCATAAATTGGTTTAAATCGACTCACTCAAACATAGCCTTTTTAAACCATGAAATGGCTGAAAATAGTGATTTTTCAAAAACATGAATTTTTATTATATTTTTTTGAACTCTTAGCCAATATTATTTGAAAATGTTTTCATTGCTTTTATATACTCGTAGAGTAAGATCTTTGGTAATAAACGCCATTAAAAAAATTTTGCTGGCAAGTTGTTCTAAGAATATATGAATTTATAAAATTAGACAATTTTGACAAA